TTGTTTTTTCATTTTTGTGGCTATAAATATTCTTAGAAATTTTATCAAAGTGTATGGTATTCGTTCATAGAAATTTTACTTTCGACTATTTGTCTAAAAATCGATCGACACATCCCGTGTTTTGCAGATTCTGTAAATAACATCGAACTTACACGTGAATTCATCGTGCTACTTCAACTTTGTATTCTTTAAAAACATCAGAGAAATATAAGCAACTTATCTACAGTATCTGGCAATTTTCTTTCGTTCACCTATTGCACGATCTTCGTACAAATTCTTCGCCACATCTGAAGCGATCGTAATGGATTTAACAATTAAATATCCCACGACGACGATTATTAACGATATCACGACGGTTGTGAGATTGATTGATTGATTGGTTGTGAGCTATTAAAAACATTTCATTAAAATTTTAGATACTTTATATCGTTCGGAATTATCGCGCTATTTCTCGCGTAACGACGATAAAGGAAAATGATCTCTGCCGTGATTTTTGTCAAGTAATTATCAGTTCTATGAGAGCAGACTCTTTCAGGATGTAAATAGGTAGCCTTGAAGAACAAGCGTAATTTTTTATCTCAGTCCTTTCCAAACTGTTTGCTAACGTTTTAAGCCGCGCGATAACGGGAAAGCTGATCAATCAATCGGTTCACTCTTTTTACAAATTTCCCCGGCGATCGAGCTCGCTAGTTAACTGATATCTCTGCGAACACCATAAACTCGATTTATCAGGCGAAAATATGTCTCTTCTAAACGCTACAACTTATTGTTCCGAAGATAGGCGCCGATAAGTCTACTGCTTTTTTATTTCTTCCATTTTATATTTTCATTATATGCAAGTTTCTAATTGGTCTGAGTAACTGGCTGGAGGTGGTTCGACAGACGTTGAAGAGGGGATTTGCGGCGTTATAAATTATTTTGCGAACCTAGCAAGGTAGGTTTCCTCATTTTTCTGCCTATGGTAACCCGCTGTCGACGAAATATTTGCAACGCTTCTTACACTACACGGTAAGTCCTCTGCTCAGCTGCGAGTCTTTCGCTACTTGAAACTTAAACCTCTGGCACTCGGACGATGCGTTGAAAAATATGACAGATTTTCTAATTTTCTTCTCATTTACAATTTTGTACGTCTCATACGAGTTATATTTCCCTACGTCTTCTACATTTCGTTTGGTAACGCGTTAGCAACGCTGATATCGCTTGTTATCACTGCACCGGATATTCTTTCAGTACAGCTGCGTTCAACGAGTCTCAGCAACTTTCTAAGTACAATGAGAAATTGGTGCAGCGATATGCCATTTTGGACGAGTAGTTTCTTCATTTTTATAATTCTATCGGCAACGACGTTAACGTTATCGAAATGCGAGACAATGGACGAGCCAAATATATCGGCATCTCCGGGAATTAAGATGCGATCGGACAAGGAAGCCAACTTTAGGTATATAATCAATCCGCCTCTATTCAAATGTCCCAAACATCAGAGAAGGGATCACTTGGGAAAGTGCAGAGACATCCTTGTAAGTATGCTGTTACACCTTCTAGCATTTACGCCAGCTTAGGATAAATTACAGAAGAAAAATGAGCTCGAATAAAGTTTAGTTAATTAGTTGATTACAATTAAGTAAAGTTTATTCGAACCGAAAGATAAAAACTAAGTTCGATCGCTTTATTGCGTTTGATTCGGACGTAACGTAGACGAACTAGCTTTATTTCGTGTTTAGAGCAGGTGAATCGCTTTCGAATAATTTTGTATTTTATTTAACTCTCTGCAATAAGGTGACTAGTTTCAACGTTAAGCATCCAATGAAATATCTTTCATACGTGTACTCGAGCTGTGTGCGATCCGACAAAATTATTTTACCAAGATAACGATATTTCCTTTGAAAATTGCTTGAATTTCCATTAAGTACGATCTTAAGTACGATAAGTCTGCGAGCTTGCGGACACCGGCATCTCCGATCGAAACAGCTTTGGCAGCAGAGAATTGAAAATTGTTTCACGAGACATTTATTCGAATATAAAATATCGTTTGAAACGTATAAACGTTTTAAAGTAAGAGCCAAGTAAAACAAGACGAAATAGTCGTTGTTCGGATGTTTCGTTTAAAACAATATTTTATATATTTTGTTTTTTAATAAACTGTCCGATCGTTGATTATATTGATAATTATAATAACACCGACTTCAAACGCATCGTTTTTTATCTACGTATATAAATGAATGACGTTACGACATTCATTAAAAATAGTTGGATATGCAAAGTACAGAAAAGTACCAAGAAATGCGGAGAACAAACGAAAGCATTTAATGTATCGAATTAATTTCATTCATTTTGCGCTCGTTTTAGACCAACTCTTATAACAAACACTTTAGTCCAACGCGTATAACAAACACTAGTTCCATAAAATTTCCTCGCAATTTGTAACATTAATTTCATATTTTCTTTTCACATTTCAGTGGAGTACCTAAAAATGGTTACGAGCTTCCAGCTATAAAATCGTGGATCTACTTGCGATAATTTTCACCTTACGAGTATTCTCCTCTCTCTTACGTTTGTAGCTACGACGAAATAAATCATTTTGAAAACAACATACGTCCAATTCTTGTTTCCTTCGCGCTGCACATGCTAATCGTTTACAAGTTTTCTATATGATGACGCCGATCGCGATGAAAATTCGCGCAAGCGTTCGCTGCAGCTACACGTAACAATTTATCAGCTCGTTTTTCGCTTTAAAGGGAGAAATTAACCCTTTTTATTATTTTTTAAGTATTTATTAATCGACGAAAGATGCGAAGGAAGCAGAAGTCGTGGGAAGGATTTTTCGGAAAAATCGCTTGTCCGCGAACATCGCGTAAAAGGATTCGATTTACGTGAAATGGCTGGGATAAAAGGGACGATCTGTCCCTTAGGATAAAGGCAGGCCCCTCAGGTAGCTGCGTTCAACGCTTACGCGATGTTTCATCATGAAAATCGGCGCGTGCACGTGGAAAATATTTTCCACGATATGTCATCAAGGAAACTGAAAAAATCGCGGAAAACACGATTAGAAGATTAGTAAATAAAACACAGACAGTAAACAGAAATGTTGCTTATGAGTGTACGCTACTTCCGGATTTTTATTTTTCATTTTTTATGCGAGATGCAACTACAAAACTAAAAAAATCTCATATCTATTTCATTTTTTTCCCGATTTCCAATGCTTCCGAGCAACTGGTAAACAGCGTGAAGTCGAGGAGTCACGAGTTTGTTCAAGTTTGTTACCGTACGCGTAAAACGCTCCTTTTATTTCCCGACCACGCTCCGTCAAGAACAAAAAGTTATCATCGCTTTGAAGTTGTTTTATGGTTTCCTTTCACAGTTTTGTCTTCGTCTTTTCAAATATTTTACGTTCATTCGGTTGCCCTCGGACGCACTTGGAATATTTGTCCATAGCTCGTCCGCAGTTTTCGCGATGATTACAAAATGCTCTTTCGTTCTGTTTCCCAACATTCTCAACCGTAAAACGCCGGTTTCGATCAACCGGTTGGCTGTTGCGACCTCTGCGAAAAGTCTGAAAAGCGTGCGCGGGAAATGTGTGGCAAAAAGTAAGCGATGACGAGTATACTCGTCAAATGCGGAGTACGCGTGGCTGTCATAGCGTAGAAATTGCAGCGAAATGGCTGTTTTATTTTTCTTACGCGTGACGAATATACTCGTCGTGAAGAAATGGCCATATTTTGTGTTACGACGAGTAACTCGTATGAAAACTAAAACAGTCATTTCGTTGCAACTTATTTCGCACACAAAATATTGCTATTTCTTCACGACGAGTATACTCGTCGGAAACAGCTAACTGGTTACAGCTTGTGTACCATGGAACTTTGAATATCCGAGCTAATACACGTCGGTCGGATAATTGAATCGCTTCGCTTTCATATTTGTGAAGATTACATATCTCGAGTTTACTGTTTTGTAAAAATTCACCTTGAACAGAGACGAAGATTTCTGTATAAGAATAAAATACAAAATTCCTTCAGATTCCATTTTCGTTAGCCAATTTTCTTTACAAGGAACGTGTAACGTAGAGAATATCTTAGGTCTTTTATTGTTTGGAAGAACATAAACTGAGATTGATAGATGGACAGAGGCATAAGCGTAACAGTCAGTGACAAACTTAATTAGTAGGTCAGTAAACAGAATCAGAAAAGAAATGAATGAAACGAGCAAACATTCTCAGAAAGCTTTAAAAGTCTGCAAACTGTAAACCAAGTCTCTTCCTTAGCCGTGAGACCGAGATGAAGATTAACCTACTGTTAAGTAAAGCAAAACGCAGATTATTTTGATGAACACTAAATAAAACATACATTAAATAATCCTAGTCGTACCGTGATCGTTTTTCTAATTAATTTCGATTAAGCAATACGCAAGACTGGTTGACGTAATCAAGCGGTGAGTAACGAAAGTACTTCAAGCAACAGGAAAACACAACCAGATACTATAAATGAAATCTCATTCGTATAAATAAAGTACATTTTTAAATATCTTATTTCTACGTTATTTGTATCTTATCTAGTATCTTGTCTGTATATTTCACCGTGACATTTTGTTATAATTTTATCGGCTCGTTTATACAACGTAACAGAAGATACGTCGCGTTGGCAACTAAGTGATTGCGGATTTGGTCATTAGATGGCAATGACAAACTCCGCAATCACTTAGTTGCCAAGCGAATAACAACAACTCTGATAAAAGTGGCTTTTTTCACGAGATGTTCGCGATATCAGAAACTTTCGCCAATGATCGCACACACACGTGGCGTTTGTTTGGAATTTTCCAATTACAGGGGATCTCCAGGAAAACGATGATTAACAGCAACTTGTGGAAATACTCGCGTGCATTTTGTGATTATAAAAATTCCTCGAACGGTTTATCGTCTGGCAACTGTTATCAGTCGTTTATCGTGCCGTACCGTTGGTCAGTGTCGTTAATAAAAAGCGAGACGACGGTCGAGATGGTCAAAAACTGCTAATGATTCTAATCTCGCTTGTGGTGGAATATTGTGGTTACGACGCCGGATGCGTTTCTAGTTAAATTGCACGCAACAATCTGCTCTGCAGATCAGATCGCCTTTTATTTCAATAGTGGTCAGTCGCATAAGACCTCTGTTTTCGTTGTTTCCTATCTGTCGGTCAGTTTCTCGCCGAGTTTTTCCACGTGGACGACTGTGTTGCGAAATAGCTGCACAGCCAACGTAATCGTCGATTGTAGCTCGCAAGGTAGCGAGAAAAGTGGTGCGTGATAATCAGCGACGACATCGTCAGACGTTCGTTCAAAGTTTTCGGTGTTTTCAATCGAATTGTCTCGGTGGAAAGGAAAAATGAGACCGGCCGGCTTGCATTTTTTCATCGGCATTTCCTTCCTTCTTCTCGTGGCTCGATCGTCAGCAACGTTGACAAAACTGACCACGTTGGACGATGTGATGCCCGATAAGTGGAGGGTCGTGTCTTCTGGCCAACCTCCGCAAATCGAGCTCCGCTTGTTCAAGAGTCACACACCAGAGGACAAGACTTGGTCGAGCAGCATGGAATATACGATCTCGCGGAGCACCGACGAGCCGGAAAACCAGGACGCGGATGAGAAAGCGACAAGCGCTAAGCCGAAAACGCAGCTCGGGTCTAGGCACATCATTCGAGGCGCCAGGTTCAGGTGTCCCACCGGTCAGCGAAGGGATCACTTGGGAAAGTGCAGAGACGTCTTGTGAGTGTTCTATTGTATCTTCTTCGAAATTTTCCTATTCTTCTAACGTTCCAATCATTCGTCTGTATTTCCATATTCTGTCCGCGTCGTGAAGAGCATCTTCTTTCTCGTGTACTTGATTAAACAGCTGCATTTTGTATTCTCTACAAACAGCCTGCGATTCTCTTGAGTACCTTTCGCCTGATCATCCAAATTTTTATCCAATTTCAGCGTGATACCGGTTAAAAACGATGTATAAGCGCATTGGACAAGAAACAGCGCAGAAGACGTAGAGCCTTGTGAAAATTCCATCCTCCAGCGACGAGTTTCTTTCTTCTCCTTAAAGTTTTCTCTTAGAAAAAAAAAAAAAAAAAAATAATAAGAAGAGAACCTTCGATGTTCTTTTCTTCCAACTTCTTCTCTCACTTGTTACACGCTTACACGGATTCGGATCGATATCTCGGTCGGACTGAAGGATCGTCAAACGTGATGCTGACGTAATGAGACGAGATAAAGCGATTTTCGAAGGTATCAACGGTATCGGTGTATTATTTATACGCCAATGCGTCTGATGGATGTTATTACGCGCGGTACTCATCGATTTTCGACTCTTTATCTCGCGGCGCGATATATCGGCCGAGCCAATCCCTCTTCGCTTCTGCCACCACGCGATTTATCGTTCACGGGATTTTCGAAATTCACCGTGATTCATAAAGTAATATTTCGCCTTCCAACTATCCCGATACGCTTTTACCCTGGTCGAAGGTCAGCGATATATCACTAAGCAACGTTTCTTACTTCGCGGCTCGAATAAATGCTCGCCGTGTTTTATATTTGAAGCATGCAGAGCTCCGGCTATAAATTAGATTTCCGCGTTTTATAACGCGGTATCACGTCGGCTTCGCTTTTTCCGTTAACGTGTACGCGTGTCAAAGACGACATAAATGTCCACTGGGTTCGTTACTTGCGCTGCAACGTCTACCGTTAGAGAGGAGCATAAATGCGTTACGCGTGCTGCACCAAACGTTTCATTAGCATTGTGATAAGGCTGGACACTATGGCGATTTATGCTGGTCGAATTAGAAACGTAGTCTGCGCAGTTCTACTAAAATTAGAGGCAAATGCAGAGATGAATGTACCATGTTCGAACTCGTTTAACGCATGAACATTTAATAATAATAATGTGATCATACATGTTCGGATTTGTCAGTTAAAACAATCATTTACCAGTTAGCTGCTGCGACCTGTTCGAGAAATGTAAGCGATGACGAGTATACTCGTCAAAGACTGCGATGATTGTAATTGCAATTTAGTAATTGCAGTCATTGACGAGTATACTCGTCAAAGACTGCGATTACTAAATTGCAATTTAAACAGCAAATTGCAACTACTTTTCACGCGTGACAAGTATAAGAAAAGCTACCTGGTTAAAATAGCAAATGGGTTTCTTAGTGTCTGATAAGTTCAATCTTCTGATGGAAAAACGAATATCTTGAAAAACATGTAACGATAGTAAAAATAATTGCGTTAAAATTGCGACGTGTTTTCTCGAAATACGACGAAAGATATATGGAAAATTGTATGTGATCGTATTATATAATCTTTGAGAGGCGAGAAAACTCACGTGCAAGATCCCTGCGAATTTCCTACTGCGAATGTTTATGTCGAAGCTCTTCCACAGAGATTCGACATTCCACTCGAGAAATTGTCGAATGAAAATGGCGAATTTGAAAAGATATTACTCACCGATGTACAAGATTCCATCCAGGTCGAGGTTCTCGTTGCTGCCCTGACTATTGACAGCTGTCACATGGTCATCGACAGCGAGCGTGTGTCTTTTTGGTGCCGGCCTTCCGATGCTCACTGCGTGCCATTTGCCGTCGTTCAGCCTAGACCTGGAAGTGTCCCTGACCCTGACTGGGCCGTCACCCAGGTCGAACACGTAATGAATGTGTCCGTTGACCAGCTCCACGGCGATGAAGTCGCGTTCTCGACCGGCGTTGTAGAGAATTAGACCGTTCGCTTCGCGTGTTCTGAACTGCAAGGCGAGAAACAGCGTGTTAATCGACTTAAACAAACGTAAGTTTCCCTTTGTAATTGCTGGCCCTGCATTTGCGACGACCAGCTTGCGGATGAGAATTTTGGATGGGAAATGCAAGTAAAGCATAAATGAGAAATGAGTAAGCGCCAGTGTGTACGCCACTTAATGCGCGCTGTTGAAGAAAGGAGGTGGAAGATGGAAAGAGAAGAAGTTGAAATTGAACCTGCTGATACGTTTGTAGAATGTACGAAGTGTAATATTTGAAATTGAAATTCATATCGAGGTGAATTAAAATAAAGAATTGTTTCTAAATGATTTACCTGATTCTTAGTATAAAATAGATGTATTTTCCTTATATGTGTTTTAAATAAAAATAGCAAAGGTGTCGTTGAATCTTTCTCTTCAATCAAATTTTCAATAAAATGTTGCGCAAGTCTGAGTTCAGGCGACGAGTTAACCCTCTGCCTGCGATCCTAATTTTCACTGTACGCTGTATCGTTTATGTTCATACGATGCTTTTTAAGCTTTCGTGTTTCAAAAGATCCTCAAAATTCTCGAATATTCTTCCAAATTTCTACAACATCCAATACTTTTTATCGTTGCACGTCACCTTGCTAACTTTAACCAGTTGTCGCGAGCTCTTTGAAAACTTCGAAAAGTGTATATCTAACATGGCAGAAAGTAAGCGACAGCGAGTATACTCGTCGAAGACTACAATTACTAAATTGCAATATTTTAAACAACAAATTGTAACTACCCTTTACACGTAACGAGTATGCTCGTCATAAGATAAAATATTGTTATTTCTTCATGACGAATATACTCGTCAAAGACTGCAATTATGAAATTGCAATATTTTAAACAACAAATTGTAACTACCCTTTACACGTAACGAGTATGCTCGTCATAAGATAAAATATTGTTATTTCTTCATGACGAATATACTCGTCAAAGACTGCAATTATGAAATTGCAATATTTTAAACAACAAATTGTAACTACCCTTTACACGTAACGAGTATGCTCGTCATAAGACAAAATATTGCTATTTCTTCGTGACGAGTATACTCGTCAAAGATTGCAATTACTAAATTGCAATATTTTAAACAACAAATTGTTACTACCCTTTACACGTAACGAATATGCTCGTCATAAGACAAAATATTGCTATTTCTTCGTGACGAGTATACTCGTCAAAGACTGCAATTACTAAATTGCAATTTTTTAAACAACAAATTGTAACTACCCTTTAACGTAACAAGTATGCTCGTCACAAGACAAAACATTGCTATTTCTTCATGACGAGTATACTCGTCAAAGACTGCAATTACTAAATTGCAATTTTTTAAACAACAAATTGTAACTACCCTTTAACGTAACAAGTATGCTCGTCACAAGACAAAACATTGCTATTTCTTCATGACGAGTATACTCGTCAAAGACTGCAATTACTAAATTGCAATTTTTTAAACAACAAATTGTAACTACCCTTTAACGTAACAAGTATGCTCGTCACAAGACAAAACATTGCTATTTCTTCATGACGAGTATACTCGTCAAAGACTGCAATTACTAAATTGCAATTTTTTAAACAACAAATTGTAACTACCCTTTAACGTAACAAGTATGCTCGTCACAAGACAAAACATTGCTATTTCTTCATGACGAGTATACTCGTCAAAGACTGCAATTACTAAATTGCAATTTTTTAAACAACAAATTGTAACTACCCTTTAACGTAACAAGTATGCTCGTCACAAGACAAAACATTGCTATTTCTTCATGACGAGTATACTCGTCAAAGACTGCAATTACTAAATTGCAATTTTTTAAACAACAAATTGTAACTACCCTTTACACGTAACGAGTATGCTCGTCACAAGACAAAATATTGCTATTTCTTCGTGACGAGTATACTCGTCGAAGAACAACTAACTGGCTAAACAGAAACATGGAAGAAATGAAAAATTATCGGCCGAAAATTACGCGGATGGAGGGTTAATTAACAGGCGTCTGTTCTTCTAACAATACAAGTTCGATCGCGAAGATCGATCGTTCTCTTTGCACGACTATCAAAGCCGCGCTTCTCTTTCAAGAGAAAAACTGTCGATGGAATTAAACGAGCGAGCCGGAAGTTGTATGAGAGGCGATGGAAAAACAGCAGAAGCTCGTCGATTACAGTCGACGTAATTACGAAGGTGACGGCCAGAGGAGAGCTTGTCTGTCACTTGACACGGAAGAACGGCGCATGATTGGGTTTTTACGTGCGCCAGCGTCACACGTGCCACGATTAATCCGGAGTTTGTGCATCGATTCGTGAGCACCGAGCACCGATCCAGGCCAGGATGGATCTAACTGGGCGAACCTTTTGTGGGGACGCGTCACCGTTGACATTTCATTTCCTCTGTAGCTCCTGAGCCACGGCACGCGAGTTTCCCAACATGGGTCGAACCACTTTTCCCACCATATATTTCAACTGGCCTTCGCAACGCTTTCGTTCGCGTGCAAGTAACATCTTCGACGTTTTCAAACTTTGTTAAAGTTGAATTTTGCGCGGAATAATCAGACACCTTGTATGTTGCTGCACCTTGTTCTTTCATTTTAACCAGTCAGCTGTTGCGTCCTCTGGAAACTTTGGGAAGTGTGTACCTAAAACGTGTGGCAAAAGGTAAGCGACGACGAATATACTCGTCCAGCACAGGCTATGTGTGGAGATTATAACGTAGAATTAAAGTAATCAAGTAACGTGTAACCAGACGACTGTCTTATATCTTTACGCATGACGAGTATACTCGTCATGACACAAGATATTTGTATTTCTCCATGACGAGTATGCTCGTCAAAAACAGCTAGCTGGTTAATGTAACAATATCGTAACGAGGAAATATCATTCAGGTGCAGCAACGTATTAGAAATTTATTTGAATCAGCGAGGAGGTTGGTCCGCTTATTTGCTAAATCCCCAGAAAGCAAAAAGTAGGAAAAATCAATGTATCGATCAAAGTTCAACGATAAAATTAAACAAACTTCAAAAAGTAAAGTTATAGACGCTTTGGCTTCCGAGTGACTTATACAGAAATAAATTGTAGAGGATTCGTCTTATCAGATATCACGAAATACAGATTGCTGTTTGTGAGCAATTTATTTAAGATAAATATATTGTCTATAAAATTGATATGGCACAAAGCACAAGTCCAGGATAATAACTTTCGCGAAATAAATACGCGCAGTCTCAAGAAACTCCGTATATACGTCTGATGCGTCTGTATGCTTATACTGCGATCGCTGAACTTCCTCGCTCGTCATTTCGTTTGTTTATTTATACTGGTCGGGGGACAGTCGGAAAGTTTGAACTCGACTGCGTTTGACGGTGGAAAGTAGCGGCGACATTGTTTTGCTCGGAGTTCATTACTCCTTGCAATACCTGTGACCTAACGGTCATGATACTGCGAAACAAAACAACAACAGGAAACTACAAAATAAAATAAACAAGAAAATAATTTCCAGGAATAAAATCATATCTACATATACGCGTTACCGAAATATAATAATCGCGACTGAGAATACCAACATTAATCGAACTTTTCTTTCGACCAGTAGCAGTTACATCTAGAAAACTACGAGTAGAAAACTATGTCTGACGAGCTGTCGATTTCATAATTGAACTTGGCAAACTCGGTGACGAACTGCTTGGTATGACTGAAATATCCTTCTGGATTACCATTTCTTCTGTGATCTGGTAAACGAAGAGTTTGTTTCCTACCAGTTATCTATCTTCTCTTTCTCGTGACATTTCGTCCACGTGAAAAAACAAACAGCTCTCTATCGTTTTCTATTTTTAATGAAAAACCAATTTAAAAATACTGTAAAATGGCTGTAAAATATTGTGCCGAAAAATGTCTCGATCACACAGATACACGGAATTCTTATAAAAGAATTTCCCAGTCGCTTTTAATTTTGTTAATTTCTAATTTTTACAAATCTTTTTAGTTTTAATTTTTCAAAGAAGAAAAAAGATAAGGGAAAAAAAATTGAAAAATGTTTACCTGGAAATAGATATTCGTTTCCACGTACGCTTTCAGCACGGGCAAGCCGACGAACGTGTGCTTTGATGTGAATGTCACCGGATAATGGACTGGATGGTTCCTTTTGCTGAATTTCCCCGTGACCCTGATGATCGGCGTTACACCTTGATGAGAAGCCTGATGATTGCCGGAACTGCGCGCTATCTCCAGGTACGGGTAGCCGTTGAACCAGATTTGTTGGAGAAAACCAACGAAATGCGGGATTTCCTCACCGGCGTGCAAGTAGCCACCGACGTGCAGCGTTCGGAATTCCAAAATGCTTTGCTTGCCAAGCTGCGTTTCGGCTGTCAAACAGAGCGGACAATTTTTCAGAATTTCTGAGGAATTACAAAATCTCGAAAATTACTCCTCTCGAACAGTGACACGATCTTAATTTTAAAATATGCTGTTCGATCGTCTGAACGTTTCTTCTTATCCAAATGACTTTTAAATACAAAAATGACGCCTCGATAAATTACTACACGTTTGACGTTCTCTTCGGAGGGACAAGCACCTCGATTTATCGTTTGCACTTTCTTCGGCGAAGAATAAAACGTGTCAGAGTTTCTAAACGCGGGCCACGTTAAATAAGAAAATGGACTGAGATTAAGGGAAAATCATTAATAAGAATCTGGCCTTGCAACGAAGGAAAAAGGAAGAGCAGAATCGCGAGAGTCGAAGGGAACTCGAGCTGCGAGTTACACGGGAACTATTTTAATTATTAGCCGGTCCTGGGATTGTCCTTATCCAGGGACAATGAAAACTCGATATCGGCGCATTGTTCTTTGCGACCATCTTACCGGAGTCGAAGCCATTAAGCTTAATTGTCCCCGGACACAATGCACTGAACTTTGTAAATTGTAAAATGGCTGTAAAATATTGTGCCGAAAAATGTCTCGATCACACAGATACACGGAATTCTTATAAAAGAATTTCCCAGTCGCTTTTAATTTTGTTAATTTCTAATTTTTACAAATCTTTTTAGTTTTAATTTTTCAAAGAAGAAAAAAGATAAGGGAAAAAAAATTGAAAAATGTTTACCTGGAAATAGATATTCGTTTCCACGTACGCTTTCAGCACGGGCAAGCCGACGAACGTGTGCTTTGATGTGAATGTCACCGGATAATGGACTGGATGGTTCCTTTTGCTGAATTTCCCCGTGACCCTGATGATCGGCGTTACACCTTGATGAGAAGCCTGATGATTGCCGGAACTGCGCGCTATCTCCAGGTACGGGTAGCCGTTGAACCAGATTTGTTGGAGAAAACCAACGAAATGCGGGATTTCCTCACCGGCGTGCAAGTAGCCACCGACGTGCAGCGTTCGGAATTCCAAAATGCTTTGCTTGCCAAGCTGCGTTTCGGCTGTCAAACAGAGCGGACAATTTTTCAGAATTTCTGAGGAATTACAAAATCTCGAAAATTACTCCTCTCGAACAGTGACACGATCTTAATTTTAAAATATGCTGTTCGATCGTCTGAACGTTTCTTCTTATCCAAATGACTTTTAAATACAAAAATGACGCCTCGATAAATTACTACACGTTTGACGTTCTCTTCGGAGGGACAAGCACCTCGATTTATCGTTTGCACTTTCTTCGGCGAAGAATAAAACGTGTCAGAGTTTCTAAACGCGGGCCACGTTAAATAAGAAAATGGACTGAGATTAAGGGAAAATCATTAATAAGAATCTGGCCTTGCAACGAAGGAAAAAGGAAGAGCAGAATCGCGAGAGTCGAAGGGAACTCGAGCTGCGAGTTACACGGGAACTATTTTAATTATTAGCCGGTCCTGGGATTGTCCTTATCCAGGGACAATGAAAACTCGATATCGGCGCATTGTTCTTTGCGACCATCTTACCGGAGTCGAAGCCATTAAGCTTAATTGTCCCCGGACACAATGCACTGAACTTTGTAAATTAGTAGTGCGATGTAAGTATCGACAGTCGTTGCTAATAAATCTACCAAAGTTGCCTTGAAACGTAGCTCGCAGCGAAGCTAGAAGCGAAAGGGGTAAGTTTCACCCTATTAGACAATTTTACGTAAATGTTCGTATTAGACTTGGCGAATAGTTGTTGGTAATGAGGATAACAATTAAAAGTTTGACACGACGAATTATTTCACACTATTTTATTGCTGTGTTTATTTTAGATATAATACAGTTAATAATCAGAGTGGGTAAAATTGTATTTTGTGCTGAGATCAAATAAGCAATGCTCGAATAATTTTTTGTATTTTGCTTTTTAGACAAAATGCTAAATAATTGGAAAGTTGAATTCGTATTAAAATTGTAGCTTTCGTACGTGTCTTTCAGTTTTATTCAATTTAGCACGGTTGTTTTAATTCCAGCTTTGATTTCAACGTTGGAAAAATCAGTATTTCTGGCGCAGCTGACCATATTGTTATAATGGAATCAAACATTGTTTCAGGAACATTTAATGCAAATACGAAATACGAAAAAAGAAATTATTTCATTTAATAACTGAACTATCATGGAGAAGTTTATGTTTCAAACACAAACGTATGAAAAATACAATGTTTAAAAATCAACAATATTTATCACTTTATTAACTAACACAGAAAGTTATTTGAAAATAATTTATCTTAACGCAAAATTATATCTTCCATGTGTTATTTCTGGTTTAGAAACAACAAAGTACCTGAAACGCTAATAGAAACCCAGAGAAAATAAAATGCCAAAGCAGGAAATTATTTGAAAACGATTCACCTTAGCGCAAAATTATGTTTATCCTCCCTGTGTTATTTCTGGTTTAGAACTAGCAAAGTACCTGAAACGCTAATAGAAACCCGGAGAAAATAAAATACCAAAGCAGGAAATTATTTGAAAACGATTCATCTTAGCGCAAAATTATATCTTCCCCGTGTTATTTCTGGTTTAGAACTAGCAATATTTCTGGTTTAGAAC